CCACTTCTGGCCTTTCTGTATATGTGATACTGAGGAATTGAACCCAGAGCTTCATGCATGCTAGCTAGGCAAGCAGTCTACCACTAAGCCACATTCCCAGCCCTAGTATAATTTTCTTTATTTGTTTATTGGGATTTATTGTGGTTGTTGGAAGGATACATGGGGTTTATAGTTTTCACATTTAGAAAAAATTTGATCATAAGTTTTTTTTTATGTAATTATTTTTTCTGTCTCTATTACTCTCATTTCAGGACTCTAGTTACATAGTATTTGGCTAGCAGGAGCTGTCTCATAGCTTATCATGTTCTTTTCATTTCTAAATTTTCTTTGTTTTGAATAATTTCTTTGCCACTAAGATTATTGTTCTTTTCTTCAGTGTCTTTTTTTTTTTGGTTGGTCATGGGGCTTTAGCTCTTCAACTCAAACCAAGTACTCTACCACTTGAGCCACAGCTCCACTTCTGGTTTTCTGGTAGTGTACTGGAGATAAGAATCTCACAGACTTTCCTGCCCAGGCTGTTTTTGAACTGTGATCCTTAGAGCTCAGCCTCCTGAATAGCTAGAATTACAGGCATGAGCCACTGTGCCTGGCCTTCAGTGTCTTTTCTATTGTTAATCTTACAAGATATTTTTATTTTGCATGTAGAATTTATCTCAAGAAATTCATTTGGGCTAAAAATACCTTTAGTACTCTTCTTTTGGAATGTTATGGACAACAGTTTTTAATACTTTTTGCTTCTAAATCTAATTTCTGTGTAATTTCAGGGTTGGTTTCATTTTTTTCTCTGACTTCTACATATACTCATTCCATTGGACTTCAGAGAAGTTCAACTTTTGGGCTTTATTCTCTTTTTTTCTCATTTCATTTTATGAGTGGCTATAAATTCAACTGTTACTTAAAAACAAATGGTTTCATCTGGTCATACAAAAGAGTATTTATCAAAAGAACTTTAGGAAATAAAACAAGTTTCTTTTTTTCTGTTTTTCTCTTCTTTTTGTTCTTTTTGTCTGTTTTGATATCTTTGGGAGTGTAAGGGGAAGGCATAGAAATTTAAGGACTAAGGGTGAACAAATACAGCAATGGTACTTTCTGGACACTATGTTGAAAATGAACTATACAACTCGTAGGGAGAAAAAAACAGAGAGAGTAAGTGAAGGGGTGACATTGTCCAAAAAGAAATGTACTCTTTACCTTACTTACATAATTGTAACCCCTCTGCACATCCCCTTTATAATAACAATTAAAAAAAGAAGTAACAACAACAGATGATTTCTCCTCTTGACCTTGAAGGCTTAGTCTTAATATTTCTTTTTTTTTCTATTTTTGTATAGGTGGTGGGGCTTGAACTGGTCCTGGGTGCTGTCCCTCAGCTCTTCAGCTCAAGGCTAGCTCTCTACCACTTGAGTCATAGTGCCACTTCCAGTTTTCCGGTGGTTCATTGGAGATAAGAATCTCATGAACTTTCCTGCCTGGGCTGGCTTTGAACTGTGATCCTCAGATCTCAGCCTCCTGAGTAGCTAGGGTTACAGGTGTGAGCCACCAGCGCTTGGCTTGCTCTTAATATTTCTAACAGTTTGTTGGACATTTTTCAGTTCATTGTCAGTTTACCCTATTTAAAACTGAGCCACATCTCCTATTAATATTACTCTTGGTGTCACTTTTTATCTTTTCCTTATTTTAGCCCATAATCCAATCTATTTTTTCATTCTTTCATGCTTTTAATTATTTTTCATACTTGTTTCTTCTATTTCTATCCTTTAACTTAACTTTGTTAAGGACTGTTTTGTCCATCCAAAGTTGATATATTGAAATCCTAACCTCCCATGTGGTACAATTAGTAGATGAGACCTCTGAGAATTAGGTTATAGGGTAGAGCCCTCATGAGTAGAATCAATGTCCCTGTAAGAAGAGACATAAGAACATGTCTTCTCTCGTGAGGATGCAGTGAGTAAAGGGCTAACTGTATACTAGAAAGACTTTGAATCTGCTGACATATTGAATACCTTCATTTTGGATTTCCAGGCCTCCAGAATTATGAGAAATAAATTATTGTTTAATTCATCTAGTCTATGGTATGTTTGTTTTAACAGCCTGGATTATGACCCGTAGTATGACTATCACTTTTATATTGATCTTCCTGCAGGCATCAGGCTCTTTCATCTATTTTAATCTACACACTATTGTGTTTCTAAAGCATATGTCTAATTTTGTTATTTCTTTGCCCAGCCCTGCAGTATTTATCTTTTGCATGTAAAATACCATCAAATTGCTTAGCATGTTTTCTAGCCTTCCATATTGTGCTCACGTTATTTAGTCCAGTCTTAGCTGCTGTTTTGTCTGTTGTTTCTTTGGGTGTGTTGTTTGAAGAATGGAGGGACTGTGTGGTTACAAGTGAAGAATACAGTCACACTAGTTGGATTTGAATATTGGTGCTATAATTTTAGAAAGTTTTCGGCAGTTTACTTAAAATTACAAATGTGTCAGGGTTTCCAACTGAAAGATGGACTTGATGACATATAATAGTATTCCCTTTAAACTGTTTACTAATGGGTGTTGTAATAAATACTATCACTGTTTCTTTTCTAGTTCCTTGAATATACTCATGTTTCATTTTCTCTGTAGAGTTCATTTATTTATTTATTTATAGCCATTTGAAACTTTTTTTTTGTCAGTCATAGGGCTTGAACTCTGGGCCTGGGTGCTGTTCCTGAGCTCTTTAGCTCAAGGCTAGCACTGTACCACTTGAGCCACAGCGCCACTTCCAGTTTTCTGAGTGGTTTATTGGAGATAAGAGTCTCACAGCCTTTCCTGCCCGGGTTGGTTTGAACTACAATCCTCAGATCTCACCTTTCTGAATAGCTAGGATTACAGGTGTGAGCCATCGGTGCCCGGCTTGGTTAGTATTTTTGTGTACTTTATGTCCTCTTAGATTTTAGAGGTTAAAGTGTGTGTCATTCATGCCTCTGGCATGGTTACATATAAATGATTGTTGCTTAATTCTTGCTAAGTATTTGAATGAATTATAGTTCTTCCTTGTCATACTTGTTACATGTTGAACCTAGAATAGTGCTTGTTAAATGAACTGCCTTTAAAATATAGTCTTCCTGGTTTCTTATGGATTTAGATTGTTAAATTATATCATTCCAGGGCTGGGAATGTGGCTTAGCGATAGAGTGCTTGCCTAGCATACATGAAGCCTTAGGTTTGATTCCTCAATACTACATAAACAGAAGTTGTACTGTGGGTTCAAGTGGTAGAGTGCTAGCCTTGAGCAAAAGAAACTCAGGGACAGTGCCCAGGCCCTGTCTGGCAAAAAAAAATAAAAAAAAAATCTTTATCTTTCCAGTGTTAATGTAGTGGTCTGGCATAATCATGCTACATTTTCTTTCAGACTATTCTTGTTAATTTTCTAAAAAGCCTTAGAGTTTTCTAACCAGATGTACATCTCATTCTGTTTAATTTCAAAATAAAATTTCAAGGTATTGTTTCTGACATGGAACCCCTGTGGGCCAGAAAGTTAAACCAAGTGTGTGTTAAACTTAACATGATATTGTAATGTTGCACAAGAATGGCACTCATATTTAATGGTAGTGGAAGAGCCAGCCATGAAATTAAAAGGACTTAATAATGCTTCTAACCCAGTAAGACGCTCTTAAGCATTAGAGGTTTAAATAGCTTGATTTTAGGAAATCTCATTATATTAAGATTAAGCTCCAGGAAGAATAGGGGTCAGTCATTTGAGAGCATCTGAAACTTAAAACAAGGGTGACTGATTTGTTGTTACACTACACAATTTTTAAAAATTTTGTTTGTTAGTTTTACAGGGGGAGGTGATTTTCATTGTTTCATCTCTGGACATATTTATACTATATTTCAATCGACCTCTAACCCCTATATCCTAACCCTCAAAATAGCATTTTCAGCATTATATAGTTTTAAAACTGGAATCCTAGAAAGAGAAAGGAAGAATAGTGCACCAAATGAAAGGGCAAGTAGAAGTATTTCTCTTTTTTCAAGAGATTGTGAGCTTTTCAATGGCAGGTATCATATCTTGCCGTCTTTCTCTGAACTCTTATCAATATTTTATGCATATTTGTATTTCATGAATATTTGTTGAGTGGTATTTGTTGAAGTTCTAAAATCTGACAGATTTTATTTTATGTTACTTTCATGCTGTTGTAAAGCTTTCTTATTCACCAAATCATTACTTGGTTGTGTTTTCTCAAGGTGATTTCATAAAGCCTTTTATGTAAGAAAAAAGGATAAGTAAAACTTCCTTCTTTCATTTCTACTTCTTTCCTTGCTAACTTCTCTTTTCTGAAGGTGAAAGGTCAAGTTTTGAGACTATTGCCTTTGCCATTTAAAGCTTACCAGATCATTCTTTTTCCCACCCACAGGACTAACTGTGGTTGAAATACATTTTCCTGGGTTTAACATTTTATTTATTTATTTGGTACTGGGGGTTTAACCCAGGGCCTTTCACATTCTAGGCACATTTTGAGCCACTAATCTATACCCCCAGACCAGGATTTCTTTTCATGCCATTGGAAGGGATGGTTTCTGTAATTCTGGGAGTAGGAAGGTAGAAAATTTTAACATTTTCTCAGGCCCTGTTCAGGATAAAGGTCATTCATTCTTTTTGTATATATTATTAAAACAGATAACATAGGCAGGGAGACTCTAAATACTTAACATAATAGGTAACTCATAAGCATTTTATAAATGATAATTATTAAGTTTATTGTTAAAATTGAGAAAGGAACACTGTAGAGGTAGCAAGTAGGAGAGATTATTTAAAATTTTGTGAATATTTCCTGGAGAAATAATTTGAATTTAATATGCTTGCACATTTTTATGTTTAAATGCAGTTGGCTATTAGTATAAAACTAGCCTTCAACATTTTAATAGGAAATATTAAACAATAGGTCCGTTAATATTAAAAGACTATTTACAATAAAAAATGTTATCTACACCTATTGAAAGTAATATATTGAAATCAGTGTGTTCTAGGTCAATGGCTTCCAAGACTCCAGTTGGATTCATTGGACTGGGCAACATGGGAAATCCAATGGCAAAAAATCTCATGAAACATGGCTATCCACTCATCGTTTATGATGTATTCCCTGAGGCATGCAAAGAATTTCAAGAGGCAGGTGAACAGGTATGGACTTTTCTTTAGATTTATTTTAGATTTTGATATTTAAAAATATGAGAGCTTCTTGGAAGTATACTTAGTGGAGTTGTGAACTTAATTCATTGTAAACTTAAAAAAAATTGTGTTGCCATTAATTCAGTATTGAGATGTACAACAAAGGAGTGCTTCCATTAGTTACCAGGAGGGGGTCTGCTTTTTAGCAGGTTATCTGGAGTATTTCCCAAGTTTGAGCTGGGGACCTTACTTTGCTCCATTTGTTTGTTTGTTGTTTGTGCTATTAAAGAGTTGGTTTGGTAGAAGTAGCCACCCATGTTAAGACACTGTTGTCTTGGAACAAGAGTAGGTTTAGAGATAGAAAGCTTAGCTTGATTCCCAGATCATGCTGTCTTAATTAAGGGAAGTTATTTTACCTCAGCTACGTTCTCATCTGTAATACATGAATGATGACAACTTATGTTATTAGATGCTGAAACTCAAATGAGAGAATATATGTGAATGACTTTGTAAATGTTGTATAACAGCACTGTGTAAATACATATTAGTTATTAGTCATAAACCAAGAGACAATCTACAAACATATTATAATGAGAAGTTTGAATTAATGTGTTGCTTTTAGGTGATCATTTATGCTATAAGGATTTTGGGATTAGAATCATGTCTTATGGTAGCATCTGCTATTGTATTTGGATATGTTAAACTTTATGGTAACTCAAATGACAAGATCAGTATTAGTATCTGAATTTTGAGTTTTGTTTTTCTTAGATATGCAGGAAAATTTTTTACAAGTTGTAGAATGACAAGGGTGAAATATCCTAGAACTAGGAGAATACTAAAAACTTCCTGAGAAATACATAGTAATGTGAGAGAAAATAGAATTAAATATCCAACTTCTGGATAATGGACTTGAAAGTAAATACAATGAGAAACGCAATGCCTAGGTGAAAAGCAGATTTAGGTAACTTAGAGGCCTTTGGAAGGCCTCAGGATCCTGTATCTTCTTTCCTGCCATAGCTTGGATGCCATCTGTAAATGGCAGAAATGTTGTGTGATAATGTGAATATAATCTTGAAATGTGTGAGGGTATTTTGAAACTTTTATGACAGTATAGTTTGTGGAAACTTAGACTTTATTCTCAGTGCTGCTTTTGGATGCACGTCTATTTTATGTCACTGTAAACTGGTACATACATACACACATATATGTAAGAGTAACAGTGTTAGTCTCTTTTTTTTGGGGGGGGGTCTGGTTGTGGGGCCTGTACTCTGGGCCTGGGTGCTATCCCTCAGCTCTTCAGCTCAAGGCTAGCGCTCTACCACTTGAGCCGCAGCACCACTTCCGGCTTTCTTTTTTTTCCTGCTTATGTGGTGCTGAGGAATCGAATCCAGGGCCTCATGCATGCAAGGCAAGCGTTTTACCACTGAGCCACCTTCCCAGCCCGAAAAGTGTAATCTTGATCAAGATGCATTGTACTTAAAAACTGATGTATGAACAATAACTCTTTTGTACAACTACTTAGAGATAATGAAATATAAGTAAAAATAGACTTTAACTAAAAAGTGAAATTGAATCATGTCTACTTGGACTTTAAGAGGAGCTTATGGCCTTTTAAATTGTTGTTAATGCTTTTATTCTTCTCTCCATGTCAGTAGCACTTTCAGCTTACTTCTGGAATAGCTGAAATAGCTGTTTTACAAATCTTTTCTGATTTTCCTCAGATCTCTAGAACTTTCTGATCCTCTGCCTGTAGAACCTCATATACTCTCAACTTACCTTCCTCTTTTACCTTTGTTCTCCAACAAAATTCTTCTTCTGTATAAATTTTAGGTAGGTCGAAGAGAGGCTACTTTATGAGAAAGTATAGTCATAGCCATGAGATACACACATTATGATGACGACTATATGATTTTATATGGACTTGGGGAGAAACTAGAACCCATAATACACTGCTGGTATGGTGTAGAATGATACAGTCACTTTTGAAGAGCTCTGGAGTTTCTCAAGTAATTAAGTATAGAGATATGTGTAGCAATTGAACTCCTAGATATATACCCAAGAGAAGTGAAACATGTATCCACACAGCAAGTTCTGTATACCAGTATTATTCATAATAGCCAAAAGGTGGAAACAACTCAATTGTATTTAATGGATAAACAAAATGTATGCATACATTAGAATATTATTTATAATGAAAAAAATGAAGTGCTGATATTTGCTGCACCATAGATGAACTCTTAGAAAACAGGCTAAATGCAAGAAAATATGTTCTGGAGTTCCATTTCTGTAATAAGGAAATTTGCAGAGATGGAAGGCATATTAGCTGCTTCATGTGGAGGAGGAGATGGAGGAAGGTATAGAGAAGTAATAGTTCATGGATACATAATTCTTTTGAAAAGGGTGGCCCTGGTGATAGTTGTACATATTTGTGACTGTTGTTAAAGCCATCAAATAATATATCTTAAGTGGACAAGTTGTATAATATACAAATTATAGCTTAGTGAAGCCGTTAGAAGTGGGAAACTGGACATGACCCCAGCAAAAAAGATCTTTCTTTGCTCTTACCAAGCTCCAAGACAGATCACCATTTTGGAAACAGGGTGTTTAAAGATGGGAGTAAGACAAGAATCTTGAGATGATATCCTTCCTAAGTCTAACATGAAATGTCCTTCCAAGGGACATGAAGGGAGAAGACACAGTCACAGAAAGGCCATTGAAAATGGAGGTGGACTTTAAAGTTATTCTCCTGCAAATCAAGGAATGCCAGAAGCCACCAGTAGCTAAAAGAAGAAAGAAGAATCTTTTTTAGAGCTTTTGGAAGAAGCATAGCCCTGCTAATAATGTGATTTCAGACTTTTGCTCTCTAGAACTGCACATGAGTATGTATTTTTAATTTTTTAGTGGCACTGGAAATTCCTGCTTGCGAGGCAGAAACTCTACCATTTGAGTCATGCCTGAAGCTCCTTTTTGCATTGGTAATTTTTGAGATAGGTTCGCTTTTTATACCCAAACAGGCCTGGCCTATGATCCTTCTACTGGTGCTTTACATGTTGCTGTGGATGACACATGCATATCATTGCACGCAGCCATTATGCTGTGGTTGAGATTGCAAGCTGGAGTCACTACAGCTGGCTAAATTTCTGTTGTTTCCAGCACTGTGTTTGTGGCAATTTGTTGCTACAACTGTGTGAAACACAGCAAGTACTGGGACTCTATAAAATGTCTGGATTTGGAATCTGCCTTCACTATTTAGTATCTCTGCGATTTGGGGCAAGATTATTTTTTATTTTATTTCCTTTAATGTCTCCAAACCTTGGTTTCCTTTTTGTGAAATTAGGATTAAAAAAAATCCAACCATACCTTTTTCTTTTTTTTTTGGTCATGGGGCCTGAACTCTGGGACTGGGTGCTGTCCCTCAGCTCTTCAGCTCAAGGCTAGCGCTCTACCACTTGAGGACAGTGCCACTTGCAGCTTTTTTTGCATATGTGGTGCTGAGGAATCAAACCCAGGGCCTCATGTATGTAGGGCAAGGACTCTACCACTGAGCCACCTTCCCAGCTCAACCATACCTTTTTCGTAGGGATGTTAAGAGGATTAAATTAGTTAATATATAGAGAATTTAGAGTAGTGTTTGGCACATAGCAAATACTGTATGTCAGTGTTAGGTAGAAATATATATGTTTTTTTGCACTGTTGTATTCAGCTGTTACTTCTTTTTTGTTGTTTGTTTTGTTTTGTTTTTTGTTGGTCATGGGGCCTGAACTCTGGGCCTGGGCACTGTCCCTCAGCTCTTCATCTCAAGGCTAGTGCTCTACCACTTGAGCCACAGCGCCATTTTCGGCTTATGTGGTGCTGAGGAATTGAACCCAGGGCCTCATGCATGCAAGACAAGCCCTCTACCACCGAGCCACCTTCCCAGCCTAGCTGTTACTTCTTATGTATTACATTCTATTTAACAGACAATTTTTTTTTCCTCCTGAAAGTTACCTTTTGTTGTAATGATTGCTGTAGCTAAGATTCCTGTAAACTACCTTAGCAAAATAGGGGACAGGACCTTCATTAAATCACTAATTCAAAAGATATTTCTTGAGTACTTCCTGTGTGCCAGGCACTGGACTGTAGCCCATAAGAGTCATAGTTCTCATTATCTCGCCCATGTAATTGTAACCCCTCTGTACAGTATTTTCATAATAAAAAATAAAAATTATAAAAAAAGAGTCATAGTTCTTTGGGGACCAGTAGTGGGCATTAGATTATCAAAACACAAAAATGTGTGATTCCAAATTTAATAAGGAAGAAAAGGTAAAAGATCATACGAGTTTTGGTCTTGGGGCTTGAACTCTGGGCCTGGGTGCTGTCCCTGAGCTATTCAGCTCAAGGTGAACACTCTGCCCCAGTGCCACTTCCGGTTTTCTGGTGGTTAATTGGAAATAAGAGACTCACAGATTTTCTTGCCTGGGCTGGCTTTGAACCGTGATCCTCAGATCTCAACATCCTGAGTAGTTAGGATTACAGCCGTGAGCCACCCATGTCTGGCTTTTTAAAAAAAAATACAATATTTTAGTTGCAAGGCAGATTAGAGAGTTCTCTAGACATTTAGGTAGACAACTAGAGGATATGTAGGGTTTACTCAGGTTAAGAATGAGGTCAAAGGAGAATTTCTTCAATTCCATTTGATGAAGGTTTTTGAGTTAGGTTGGCAGTTGAAGCTTGAGTGCCTACCATAGGTCCCTAGCTTCCTTACTGCTGTAGTTAGACAAGTTGTTGGATATGACAAGGTGTTGGATGTGTCCCAGGTGGCAAGAGCTAATATTACAAGGAAAGTTCTATTAAAACAGTCGTTTGGTGCTGGGAATGTAGCTTAGTGATAGAGTGCTTGCTTAGCATGTATGAGTCCCTGGGTTCGGTTCTTTAGTACCACATAAATAGAAAAAGCTGGAAGTGGCACTGTGGTTCAAGTGGTAGAGTGCTAGCCTTGATTAAAAGGGACAGTACCCAGGCCCTGAGTTCAAGCCTCAGGACTGGCAAAAAAGAAATAAAATAAAGTAGTCATTTGGCTGTAATAATATGGCAGGACAGTTTTCAAGGAAGAAAGCTAAATAATTCTCTAGTCATGTTGTTTCTGATGAGAACTATAAAAATATTGTATACTCTTTGCTCACTATCTAGGAGAAATTTCTTGAAGTTCTTCAAGTTCCTTGAAGACAAGGAACTTAGAGTTCTGGAACATAGACTCAATTAATAGTTTTTCCTTCTTCCTTGTGATCAGATTAGCCAATAGTGCAGACTTGCTTTCCCTTCTTGTGCTGAGAAGCAACATCCAGTGGGAAATATTCTGTATGTGGGTCACACTAACGCAGGAAACCTAGAAGACAGAATCATGTTTTCCTACCTTCCGTGGCCTTCACATTGATTGTGTTAGTAGTGGTAATAAGAAGTGGGTAGAAGAATGAAATGTCCATGAATAAAGATTAAGGTTGAAGGTGCTAAAAAGCAATGGGCCTAAGGGTAAGTATCCGTTCATAATAAAAAATCTTTTCTTTTTTGGTGGTATTAGGGTTTGAACTCAGGGCCTTGTTTTTGGTAAGCAGGTACTCTACCATTTGAGCCATGCCTCTACTCTGAAAACTCTGGTTGATAAATAATTTATATTAGCAGGTTAGGAAATGTTTGGATAGTAACAGTGTCATTTGAACAACTATGAATTTCT